TTTTTTTTGGAAAAAAGCTCCCTCACGTTCTAGAATTAGCTAAAATATCTTTCAAAGCATCTCGTTGTTTGGAGAGGGGAGGTGTCTTCATTTCTTTCTGTTCACAATTCTCCATTTATCTATTGGTCCTCAGCATCATAAGTCCTCATTGTATGATCTTGAATGGATTTAATTCCACACGAGCATAAAGCAGTCAGTCTAGGTACATCTCTTCCCATTCTTTTGATTAGAACGATGCCAAGTTCTCAATGTTCTCAACTGTTTTAATTACCATGACGGCACTGACGAACAAAGATGTCTAAGATGATGTCATTCTTGCCGAATTAACTCCTCCGAGACGAATGCATAGTCTTGCCAGCAAATGATGTTTGACGCTTTACTTGATCGAACATCGATCTAATGCCTAATTCAAATAGAAGACGCATTGGGGGTCGCGTGCGAAGGTGAAACCTCAAGGATGCGTCACATTGCTCAAACTGTAGATTGCTCTGTTTTGAACTCATCAAGAAAAGATTAGGAATTATCACTCAAAGCTATAACATACAGTTTGAACGAACTATTCTTTGTATTCTATACTCCGACTTTTCTTCGCCCGTGTAACATTTCAAGACTCACATAAGTCCGTCTGCAGATAAGACCCTTGACAATGCGCATTCTGCTTGTTTGTTGAAATAAAAAAGGCTTTTTTGGGGTAATGCTGGATTTTTGAATGATCGTTTTCGTACACCCTCCAATGCTAACGAATTTTGACACTTTAAGTTATGAAAATATTCTGCATCAATTTACTTTCGTCATGCTCATCTCAAATTCATACCTAATCCATACCCACTCCTCAAGTCATCTTGAGGGTGACTGAAAAACTTAGCATATGCCCTATGTTTGTTTAACTACTTTCCTGAGAATAGCCGTATGAACTACTGTCACACTCACAAAAATATTTCCCGACAGTGATCTGAGTTCTTGAGACCGCCGTTTCCGGTCAAAGGGGTAGAAGAGTAAGGCAATATCTCACAGCACTTATGGTTACATGTAGGAGTAATCTTTTGATACGGTCAATTGACGTATGAGTCCGAGGATTTGAGTATAGCCATCAGATTATCATAACAGCAGCACCGTATTGAATATGACTCTTCGAGCTTGTAAACTCAATCACTCCTGGTACTTAATAATTCTGATGACCGTGTATTTTCAGCAGAAGTGGACGCGATTGTTACTGAGGCCATTTCGCTGTCGGGATATATCAAGGTCGCACTGGTTATCCTCAGCATATTACTGGTATGACTGGGACTACCCAATACTAGAAATGAAACGAGTGATAACCTTTGTAGATATTGGCTATCATCCGATTTAGTGCTTTCGGCTTTCGCTGCATGTTCTTCAAAGCCTGGGACTGGATACGAGCTAATGAAAGCAAACCACCTCCTCAGGTAAGCCTTTATGCTACGGCGAAGAGTTGGCGTTGTCCGAGGTACTGGAAGTATTCTAAGGGCAAATGTTACTAATGTCTGAAACTTTATACTGCAACAAACCGAGTAAGGTTATCGAGCAATTAATGAATTTTCTCTGCCGTTTTTTGGAATGTAAAAAGAAGCATTCCAAAATTGTTCTAGACTGATTCGAAAGTATGTTCTTGAAGGATTTTCGCTATTTTTACTTACTCCGATGCGTTCAACTTATTGTAGATAGGTCATTACATGGGACAAGCTCCGAATAATTACACATGTTACTAGAGGGAGAGTCCACAGAAAATTCTGAAAGTTCGAAGTTTCGAATCTTTCAATATTGAAAATCAATTATCAAGATTGTAGCACAAATACATTTTCCACCCGAATTTTATCGAAAGTCAAGACCCTGATGTAAAAGCTATTGAAAGATACAATGAAGTTCTATAAGCTCTGAAAGAAAATTCCTCGAAAAGCGCGAGGCTCTCTTTTTGATGGTCTGCTGTTGAAAACTGTGATAAAAGAAAATATAGGTGGGGTTTGAAGATGGTGAAATTAATTCATTATAAACTTTTACAGTTATTTGGAAGAATCTGTTTATGAATTTGGTTCTCGGAAAGAGGAAGTGACGGATTGATGCGTTTTTACTAGGTCTTTCACTTGTACGGAAAGAATTGATGCCCATTCAACTTTTATAAAAAAAATTATCCATCGCTGGGTTTAGTATTAGAACGACTTTCTAGGTGAACAAAGCTTTGCGAATAGTCGTTATTTCTCACTTCTTGAAGTTTCATTTAGCTTTCCCAATAATTAAGTTCAAAAATTTTGTCCTTATTCCAGCAGACCACATTTTCATCTATTTACAATGTGACATAGTTTGAACAAAAAATTTGTTGTGAGAAACTTCATGTAAAACGACATTTGGCATCATGTCCCATTCACAGATGCATACGTGAACTCCACATTTTGAAGGAACTTTGCTTTTAGGTAATCCTACTGATGCCTACTGGTGATGGTAAATACCGTCCTACCACGACTGTATATGCTGATCCGCAAACAAAGAGTGTTATTGACCGGATTCAACGGGAATCGTTTGAGTTGTTCAATGAATATGAGCAGGAACCGATTCGGATGAAACCACCGAAACTTGGCGCCATCAAAAACTCCCGCTAATCTCTCTATATGGGATGCAACGAAACTATTGTTCTATTGCTTTATTTCATGTTATTACCGCACTTGAACTCTAAATCCACACTCCGTACAATTCTCTTTTATTACCTTATTCTCATTCCTTAACTCGAAGGAAGTAGCAAATTATCTTAGGTTAAGCATTGCTCTAGCTTCTTGTTCGTGATGCATTTGAGTTTGAAAAGTATTCAATATTCATCAATTTGCTCTTGCCGTTGCCTTATCATTAGTGCACGGGTATAAAAAATCATTTTTACTGTGTATGTTGTTTGCCTTACATAAAGCATAACCTCGGCAATCATCTCTTCTGATTTTCTGTTTCTAAAAAGATCTTACTGCGTGTTACTCCGCAAGTCATGAAATGGTTTATTCTACTACCAGTGGGTGTGGACTAATTACTAGTTTTTACACTTGCTCAATAGCAGAACAAGTGAATAATTTGCTTTGTGTTCAAGGCAACTCAGTAAAGCGATAAATTAGTGAGGAAAAATGCAACAGAAGCATTACGCAAAGAAAATGCGCAGAGTAATGCACTTTCAACCCTATATTTGGAA